TTATTTTATTCGCTTTTGGCCTTTTTCTCCGTCGCCCCTGGACTGATTTGCAAGAACTACAAAGCTTTTTTGTCCTTGGCATAGTAGTAACTTCATCCAAATCCGAGGAGTACTTTCCAAGTTATTATAGGCGGTCCAAGGATTAGTGGACAGGCAGACGCGGAAATGAGTGACATGGGTTGTCGTGATGTACGTGTCATATAACAACCAAAATGCACAAGATCTCATTTTCGAAATTTTTCGCGATTAGAATATGCCCTCGCCAGTAGGCGGGGTAAGTAAAACGAATTTCCCCAAAATCGTTTTTAACTTCATCAGAGTTTATTTGAGATGGGATTCAAAACTAAATTGCACATTAACATTGTCTGCAGTCCTAATTAGATTTCCAATGTAACGTTTGGTTATATTGGATTTTTATTTGTATCTTGTAAAACTATTCAAAACGAAATTTTAACATATAGTGCATAAAAAAGTAAACTTTCTTTAGTTGATCTAAACTCAACGAATGAAGAACAACATAATGTTAAACCATTCATATTATTTATTATTTTGATTATATTATAATTTTAATAAACTGAGGAATGGAACTTCAGATTTAAATTCTAGTGCAGCTGAGAAAAATCTAGGAAAAAATGAAAACTCTTTAGGGTAATTTCTGCTTTTTCCGCCTGTCTCCGAAATTTCCAGGCTGTCTAGGTGTCATTTTCTTAGTTACGTAAATACGCAACTTTGACACCATAAACGACTTCGTATCCATTAAGGTTTCTGAGATCCGAATGGTAAGAGTTGGATTTGAAATACCCGGTACATACATATATAGCAAAGTTAAGTTGAAATGCATCGTAGATTTCAACTAATCCTAGTAATTTATCACGTAACGAATATTGATTCAGCTTGGGGGGAACATGAACAATATTGTCCAAATTCCCTCCCTCTCATTTTTGTCAGGTTTGAGAGAAGGGCTAGCAGCTGCTCCTTCTTGTACTTCGTGTATACGCCCATGCTACATGCAGCTGAAGCGAGCGCGTCGACAGCTTTCGTTATACTCGGTGTTCTGAGAATGTGCTGGCATGCGATGCGCATCAAATTCACTCGGCTAACAACTGTTAGCGAGAACAATTTTTCTGGTCCTCAGGTTGACTGCTTTGAAAAATCGTAGTAAATGTGTCTGGTGCCGACTTCAAAAAAGTGAAGCGTCTTGCATCAGACGCTACACTAAGTAATTGATTTTCTATATTTTTTTTCATCAGTATACATAAATATCCATGGTGTTAATAAAGTATCTAGACAATTTTTAGCCATAGCATCGTTGGTCAATTTGAAGACGAAATTTCCATACTAACATGGGTCCGCAACGGCTTTGTTTTCAAGCTAGAGCATATTAGCACTAAAAGAAATGATGATATTGTTCTAAAAAATTATAAAAGAATGGAACATATTTTATTTTAATCAAGTATGCCCTGTAGTGAATATCACATGATTTACAATTGTTTTCAGACCCTCCATGTTGTACGTAGATACGGATAATGTTATCCAGTATTTTTTTAAAAATTAGCATGCCATTGATTTGTTTTGATCGCAATACTTTTTCTTGTGACGTACCCGAAAACAATTGAATTAATTTATTTTCTCAAATAATTCGTCAGCTGTCAAATATTTGTTTTCTTGTCTGGTCATTTTAAGACTCCAAATATTTCTAAGTTTTGGTGATTACTTATTGTCATAATGGTCCAGTTCAGTAATCAAGAACTGACAGATATGCATTTCATTAAAAATACAGGACAATACTATTTTCATCCACGTTCATATTGAGCCTCAGCAACTTGTAAAACATGCCAACCAACTGTTCACTAAATACGTTTCATTATTGACAGAAATATTTGGAAGTTTGTCTACCTACATTATTAACACACTGTAGATATATATATATATATATATATATATATATATATATACCGGGTGCCTCATCTTTTATGTCGGTATTGAAACATCGAATGACTTTGATATTTACCAACCGAGTGATTTGGTTATACGTGTTTCTGAAACGTCAATTTACTACAATTTTAGTCATGAATCGTTTTACACCGAAACAACGCGCCGAAATAGTCACAATGTACATTGAAAATCGTCGTTCGGTTGTGTTAACGCAACGTGCATATCGTCGAAAATATCGTGGCAAACAGGCACAAGACTATCCGTCGTTTCGATTCGAATTTTTTTGAGTACAGGACAGTGGGAGATCGTCAACATACCGTTCATTAACGTCCAAGACGTTCCAATGAATTGGTTGAAGCGGTCAGAGACAGCGTTGCCCAGAACCCAAAAGTGTCGTATCGTCACCGCGCTCAGCATTTTGGCATCAGTGGAACCACGTTGCGGCGCATTTTGAAGGATGATTTGCATTTGGTTCCTTACAAGGTGCAGATAACACAAAAAATATTGCCAACTTACCGTCCACGTCGCTTGGAATACGCCCAAACAGTCGCTCGCGTGGTTGATGCTGAACCTGATTTTTGGAAGCAAATTGAGATGAACGACGAGGCCCATTTCACGCTCTCTGGCGGCGTTAATAAGCAAAACTGCCGCATTTGGGGGACGGAAAATCCACACGAGATCCAGGAAATGCCGTTGCATGACCGAAAAGTGACTGTTTGGACCGGCGCTTGCGCCAAAACCATCATTGGGCCATTTTTCTTCAACAAAAATGAAACAGTCGATGGAAATCGATATCGGTGGATGTTCATTCATTATGTCTGCCCACAAATGCGTGAAAAAGGTCTTGATGGTTACTGGTTTCAACAAGACGGTGCGCCATGCCACACTGCAAATGAAACAATCCAGTTTCTGCAACGAAAATTGCCTGGACGTCTGATGTTAAAAAGAGGTGACATTGACTGGGCACCCAGGTCTCCAGATTTGACCTGACCGGACTTCTTTTTGTGGAGTTATTTGAAAAGTCATGTGTACGCCAGCAAGCCCCAGACCATTGAAGAACTCAAGGCAAACATTCGTACCGCAATCGCCGCTATACCACCAGATATGCTCAAAAAAGTAATAGAAAACGCAGCAAAACGGGCACATTTTGTTTTGGCCAATAAAGGTGGCCACTTGATAGATGTGTTCAAAAACTAGTCCCAATAAATTGTAAAGGACCATATGTAATAAAAATATCCGATATATAGAAATCAGTTTTTCGTATTCAAAGTTATTTCATGTTTGCATACCGACATAAAAGATGGCGCACCCCATATATATATAATAAAAATCCCATCTACCCTAAAGGGTTAAACAAAACATTACAAAACCTACTATTATTTGTACATTAATTTAGTCCATTCTTTTTTGTTTAAAGCAAGTTTCTTAGCTTCTCTAGAAACCGTTCCTCTTTTCATCAATATCTACTCTATGGTATTCTCACATGTTCTTTGTGGCCTGCCCCTTCTCCTTTTTCCTAGCACCATACTCTCCCGAACTTGTTCCACCGGTATGTTGTCACCCATTCTTTGCAAATGTTCCCACCATCTCAGCTGCTTCATTTCTATGTGTTCAAGTATAGATTCTGTCTCCAACTCCGTTCTTATAGACTCGTTTCTTATTTTGTCCATTTTGGTTACCTCTTTAACTCGTCTCAAGTATTTCATTTCAACTGTTTGAAGTTTACTTTTTTGTTGTTGCGATAGAACCCAGGAGGATTCGCATCCATATGTCAGTATAGGTCTATAAATTGTATTATATACCGTCATTTTTGATTTCTTGAACACCTCTTGTTTATTGATAAAACCTTTACTCATCGCATAGTACAAGTTGTTTGCCTTTCCTATCCTTTCAGAAATAACATTACGATGTAATGTTTAATTTACACGCATAAAATTATTCTGTCAACCCCTGTTTCAAAACCCGGCGTCGTCAATCGCAGTTTCTAAACGTTTCGACAAGTCACAACATGAAATCCGCGCGCACTCCCGCCGCGTTCCGCTGAACATTCATCACTTGACATTCATTCCCACAAGCTTGCGAAAAATTTTACGTTTTGATGTACATGTTTTGAAGAGAAATCTGTTTGAGTTTGTCAAATTATTGTGATTCACTGTTAAAAGGTAAGTTTGTGTATTTACAAACTTCAGTTACCATTTTTACTTAATTCACTAAATTGTTGATTGAGTGGATACGAGTTCATAGATCGGCCATTGGGACTTTTTCACCACATCACAATCAAAAAAACCTGTCAAAATATTGAAACGACGAACTTTAAGTACCTAATATTGATTCCAAATGAATTTAAAATTACTATTATAACGTCAACCTGCCTACAAAAATATAAATCTCCCGGTGGCCAATATACTGTTGAATACATTACGTTATTAAGATAAAATAATGGGCATATAATCAGTAATTAAATGTAGATTTTTTGCTTATTTATTTATTACTTCTTTGTTTTCTTGTTATAGGTGCAAAATAGCAGCGAAAAAAAAAAGTTTTCCGAAAATTACGTTAAGTTTCGATTTACCTTCATAGAAAAAGACGAGTTACAATTGCCTCAGTGTGTGATATGTATGAAAGTCTTAAGTAATGATAGCCTTGAAAGGCATTTGAAGCAAGAACATCCTACTCTGGTTTTGAAGATGAAAGAGTTTTTTTCTTCTAAAGCAGAATCACTCAAGCGGATGAGACTGGATAAATCGGGAAGCTATCACACAGGTGTATCGCAGCATCTCAAAGCTTCATTTGAAATAGCTTTTATGATCGCAAAGCAAAAGAACCTCACACTTTCGGTGAAGAATTAATAAAACAATGCGTCCTAAAAGCCAAGCAGATAATTTTAGGAGAAGATGCAGTGCAAAAAATGAAGTCTATTTCTGTTTCGAATAACACAGTCAAGCGTAGAATCGAAGACATTGCAGCAGACATAAAGTCACAAATGTTAACAAAGCAAATTATCGCCATTTTTTGCCATTAGTTGCGATGACTCCACCGACATCGTTAATTGTGCACAGTTAATAGTTTATGCTCGTTACATCGGCAGAGATATCATTCAAGAAGAGATTCTGTACTCCCAATCTTTGACAGCAGGTAATACATCTGAAGATATATTTAATTCAATATCAAATTTTGTTGAAAAAAATGATTTGGAATGGAAGAAACTCATTGTAGTTTGTACAGATGGCGCACCTGTAATGATAGGTGTACGATCGGGCTTAGCTAAAAAGCTCAAGGAAAAAAATCCCGCAATGGTTAGTACACATTGTGTTAATCATCGGCAAGCGCTGGCTTCCTAAACATTGCCACAGAAATTACGCCAGACTTTGGACTCGGCTATAAGGATTGTAAACTACATTTCTCCTGGAACGGGATTCGAACCCGCACAGCGCACGGCGACTGATCAGGAGACCGAAGAGTACTACTACTACTACTACTATAGTAATAACTGCGTCCCAATTATCTGCTTGGTTTGGGTTATCGATCGGTTCTTTTTCAGTAACAGAACCTTTGTTAAAAAGCCGTACGATACTTTAAGTTTCAAGGCTACCTCAGGATGTTGTGAAAAACCATTTTTTGTCCGTATTTCGTACAACATATGTAAAATAGAAATGACGTTTCAGCTTACTTACTTACCATGAAAGGTGACTCCCATCTTTTAACGTTGGAGAAATTTTGAATCAAACGATAGATTGCCTGTTAATTAGACACTTCCCTCTCTTGCTTTACGAATACTAGTTCCTTTTTCTTCAACTTACTTATGTGAGACAGGCTTTTCAGCTCTAGTTTTAATTAAAACTAAACGGCGAAATCGTCTTGATGTCGATAGCGTCCTGATGATAGCTCTGGCAAAAGTAGAACCTAGAATCAACCAACAGAACATGCAATCTCAAGTGCCTACTCTTATTTTATTCAAACTTTTCGATAAAAAACATTTATTTGTTCATTTAAACTTCTAAAGTTTCTTTGTTAGAATTAAAATAATAGGCTTTGAACCTATATAATGTGCGTTTTTTTGTATTTATTGAAAAAGTAAAGGGGGGCATGAAAATATAATTTATAGTCCGAGAACCCTCAACAAAAAAAAAAGGTAAGGAAACCCTGCCTTAGTGCCAAGTAGTCGTCCTAGAGGTCGTCTTTTGCGAGTTTGAACTTGTAAACTTTGGGTCAGAAACATGAAATAAAAATGCTTTGCAATTTAGGTTAGTTTGTTTTTGTCGATCGTAACGTTTAGTGGAATTCGAAAATAACAGAGTTCCGGGAGCAAGTGGTATTATCATTTCTGAATTACGATTATACCAATCTACCGGAATCCCGAAGAGTGATGGGCGTTTACGGGTATACATTAATAATTGTCTACGTCTCGATGTATACAATGCGTATACAATGTATACAATGATGAATACATTGTATAGAATAGCATAAGCGAGGTTAGGTTTATTCGCAAACGTCAGAAAGTTTTAAACTCTAGGTTTGTATACGTATATAAATAAATATTATATATTTTTTCGTTATTTATAAACTGCTTTCACAGTCAAACCAATAATGCGGTGTTGCAGAATTTGTACTGATATTGAGCTTTCAGTTCCACCTAAAATCGAAGAACCATTAGTATCGATCCGGAATTGATCCTAAACAGATTGGACAGAAATGTCTATTTGAGCGTAGAAAATAAGGAGTTGCAGCAAGTTACAGTCGTATCCTGTGGCATTCATCACTGTTATGCCAGGCTACGTGGTGTGTGGCGCACTGTTTCTACACAAGTGGTGCCCGCTTCTCCCCTTCTCTCTCTTCCTCATACACATGGAAATCTAAAAGGGAAAGGGACTTTTTCCAGCACTGTATTCAAGTAGTTGAACTATGAATTGCTATTCTATGCATTACATACATTGTATACGTGAATATCGAGACGTATAAATTCACCATTGTATACACAATGGTTTATTATACATGACGTATACAATGCGCCCATCACTGTTCCTGACCATAACAGACCTCAATAGCCTCAAAAAGATATCATTCTATAAAATAGGCGCCTTCGATAAAGTGAAAAAATACTGCAGAGGTTGCTGTGCTAAAAAAGTGCAAGTTGAAATTCCAAAAAGCAGAGTGAAAAAAGTCGTTAAATACTGTACATCATGCGAAGGTGAACCTCACTTTTGTTTAGACTTTTTCATCCTACACTTAGCAAAATAATATTCAGTCGCCTTATGTAAATCGAGATATTTAATAGCGTTGTTTTCTACTAAATTCCCGGTGATTCCACGTTGCATATGTTTTTTTCAGATATTATTTTCATTTTCACTTGTAAGGTACACCGAAAACCGCTAACTTAAGCTAGGCGGGCATGCTATAATTATATGCCTATCAACGACCGCTGGCACAGGATAAATGAATTTTGAAAGCAAGCAAGTTATCTTAAACAAATATTTGTTACAATCGCAAATGCGATTTGGCATTGGTGGATTTATATGAAAATGGATACGAAGATAATATTCATAACATCCCAATGAAAAGTCATATAATCGTAACTTGAACGAGATAAATCAAAAATGTGTTTTTTAAATATCTCAATTATCATTATTTTTTTTGTCGTAGTAGCAAATCAGCTGTAAGTATTTTAAAAATTTTAAGTTCAACTGCGACGTTCCAAAACTTTAATATTCGAAAGCAGTATGATTTTGTCCCTTGAATTATAGTATAAAATCATAAAATAGTTATGGCGAAATTAGCTCCCTCACTAAAAAAGTCACATTTCAACAAAATCAATGCGGTCTATTTTTAAAAACCTCTTCCTTAAAAGTCAAGTAAAACGATCAAGTTGTGCCCATGGACATTTTATAAAAGCATTTCTACAGATTTCGCTGAAAAAGCCTATGAAGAATTTTCTATATACACTGAAAATATGTATCAGATTAATGCTTGAATATCCATACATATTCACGAGAAATATTAGATATTCCATCAAAATATAACATTGGTATATAAAAATCTTTCCTCATACAGGGTGTACGCAAAGTTGGGATTTTCCTTTACACGACGTGTAGATCTTGAGAAAATAACCGGATTTTCTTAGTAGCATATACACCAATGTCTTAAGAGAATCGAGATATTGGGCTCCGCAAACTCAATCAAACCTGAACCAAACCGAAGCCGGTCCTGTCCTATCCCTCGATCACGTCCACAGCGCCAGCGCCAGCGTACAGTTATACGACGTACGACTATGATGTGAATACGGATTTTACGACAGAGCCGTACTTGGAAATTCAATTCAAATACTTTTTCATTTATTTATTTTACTTGTTCGCTCACGTTTCACCATACAGTAGCTTTGTTACATCAAGCGTAGTTGGGTCTGAAAAGGGAAAACCCCAACTTTGCGATGAATTACATATACTGCAAGCATCTATATTGAATATTTTATGAATATATAAGAAATATATTTATTAAATATTAATAAATCTGGCGCTACAGATATTTAACAAACATTTTTTTAAAAATATTTAATGAATATTTAATGCTATCGGGGTTATTCAGTTTGTCTCATATGGAAAAAACTTTTCTAACAGAAACTCTATATCATTTTATTTCATATCTATGACAAATTCCTTCTATTCTATATAATGTTAACGTCGATCGTCAACGTTAAAATTATAATACGTAATTTTTCAAGTCAACAACCTATCATTTTCTTTAAGATACACACACAAATGATATACATATATTTGCTATGGTGCTAAAGAAAAAATATTGCTTTTTTTACATTTTAGTTAAAAAATTGGTACTACTCCTCAAAAAGCCAATGATTCTTCGTAAGGCTGATTAAAAAATTGACAATTTGGCCTTGCTAGGGCGCGAGAGCCTTGTTAGGAAAATCTAGGAAACATAAAAATATGAACAAGTTTTTAGTTGTAGCGGAAAGTCGTATTGTACAGGTTTTTTGAACTGTACCATCTCAATATTTACTGAATTTTACGTTTCTAACGCCATCTGGCACATTTTTGCCTCACAGGGAACAGGCCCAAAAAACGGTTTAAATTTTTGTTTCATTATTAAGGTTATTGGAAACTCATTTAAGTTGATATAATAATCTTTAAAATTATTTTCAAAACATTTTCACGAATATTTCCTAAGTTTTACGTTAGTAAGTAATGTTCGTAGAGTACTCTTTTAGAATACATTAGTGTTACTATTTAATGTTTCATTTTATTCAAAGACCTTTGGTAGTTTAAGTAATATATGCACATATTTTGATCACAACGTTAGTTTCTATTAGCCTTGCTCCTTGCAAGGCCATTCGGATTATTTTAATAAAAGTTAAATTTAATATATACTGAGTAACAAAAAGAGGTATACAGCTACGTATATTTATTAGAATTCAAGAATTTTGTACATATCGATTTATCTTTGTCTTGAACAACAAGTGACAAAATGGTCAGGTTTTTCTGGTGGCTGCGAGTATTGTTTTTTGATAAAGAAGCATTCAGTTTTCGTACATTTACGGTGTCAGTTAAATGTTAAATTTCATGAAGCTTATTGAGAAGCCTTTTTGTGATTGCTCAAAATGCATAGAGTTCGTAGAATTTGCTGGGTGTCCCAGATAAGTGACTTTGAACGGGGTCGAATTGTCAGGTTACGTGACGCCGGTTTATCGATAAGAGAAGTTTGTAGGAGGACCAATAGATCCTTACGCAATATACTGCAGTGTGAACGAGCGTGTACAGCGAGCGAAGGATTCTGGACGTCCCAGAGGGATCACAGAGCGACAAGACCGCCGGTTAAGCTTCTGGCTCTGAGAGACAGATTCAATAGTACTCGAGACATCGCTAATCAGTGGTATGACGAGCATGGAAGGATGGTTGGTATGTGTACGGTATATCGCCGAATACGACAGTTTTTCCTTTTTTCTTATCTCCCACATTGGGTGCTACCTCTCACAGCTGAACATCGGCGTAACCGTTTACTCTGGTGTAGAGAAAGAATTCTATGGGACCGGGAATCGACTTAGGTGGTCTTTAGTGACGAATCCCGCTTCTGTCTGGGGATGCACGATGGTCGGGCAAGAGTGAGAAAGCGACGTGGTGAAAGACGTGACCAACAATTTCATAGAGATCGTCACGTTCACCACACCGTGAGGGTTATGGTATGGGGTGCTACTGATTATGGTAGAAGATCACCACTAATCTTCATCAGAGGTAATATGACAGCCCAACGCTATGAATGAATGAATCGTGAAATTAGAGGCATTCCGACCACCATAAGGAGCCAGTGCATAGGCCGCTTGAACGGGCCCTTATGCATCTCTACATTCCTTAGATTACAAGCTTCGCCCTTTTAGCGAAGTTTAGAATCGCCTTGAGTCCAAGCTCCTTGACGTCCTGAGGGTCCAAAGTAATGGACCCCAGTATAGTCTGCCTATAGTAGCTTAGAGTTTCACAGCGACACAAAACGTGCACCGAGGTTTCTTCCTTTACCCCACAGCACTCACACAAAGGATCCTCAGGCACCCCCATCACGTGCAGGTGACGCCTTAACGTGTTATGGCCAGACAACAGTCCCACCAGCAACCTTAGGTTGGCCCTATCCAGTGATAAGCAGAAACGCCCCTCCTTAGCAGTGGACCCTTCAATGAGTTCCCGTGCCTGGCGGAGATGTCTAGAGATACTTCTCCATTTCTGAGAGTGTTGTCTTGCAATCCATGTCTCCATTCTCCTCCTAGCTCTATGCGTGGTCACTCCTAAAGCTGGCTAAGGACCAACGAGCTTGCTGCCTGATCCTGTCATTGCGCCTTATGCAGCGTGCCCCGGTACCCACATTAACGATACCGCTGCGAGGCAATCCAGAGAATCCCTGCATTGCAATACAAGACTCGAAGTAATCTTACAGGCACTTAGTGCCTTCTTTGCAGCCTGGCTGTCGGATAAGATTGTTATTCTTCTCCTAGGCCCACCCTCCTCCAGAATACGAGATACACAAGCCAGAATCTCAAAGATTTCCGCCTGAAAAATAGTGGTGTATCCACCGAGAGGAAGATATAGCCTAGTTCTAGGCCCAGAGACCCCAGCACCTGAGAACTCTTCGGTGACCGAGCTGTCCGTGTACCAGACCTGCCCGCTCACTCTGGAGAGTCTCCGGCTACCGGTGTCCCACTCCTTCTTCGTTGGATACTTCACAATAAACTTGCGGTTGAAGCGATATTTAGGGGTAATACGATCACCCCCTACTTAGAAGGACGTGGTCCACCCTTTGCAATTCGACTAAGATGGCAGCTGCCCTGACTCCACAGTCTATGAGCGACTACTCTCGCTTCACCGCGTATCACCAGATTCAACGGTGGGAGATCAAACAGAGCTTCTATTGTACTCAATGGCGTTGTTCGCACTGCGCTTGTAATTCTAATACAGGGCAAACGCTGAATTTTATTGAGTTTGGACTTAGTTGTCTCAGTTCTAATTCAAGGCCACCAGACCAGGGAGCCATACAAGAGAGATGGACGTACTACCGTCGTGTAGAGCCAGTATACCACTTTACGTTTAAGCCCCCACCTTACACCAACAACACGTCTGAGGGTCCACATTGAATTGCGAGCCTTGTTAACCTTGTATTCAACATGCTCTCTCAAGTTCAGTTTGCAATCCAGGATAATTCCCAGATATTTCACTGATTGGGATAAAATTAATCTAGTCCCAAAGAAGGTCGACATGAACAGCTCGACATGCCTTCTTCTCCTGGTGAATAGGATCAGCTCGGTCTTTCCAGCATTAACAGAAAGATCGACTTCCCTGCACCACGATTCCAAACAGCGCATAATTCCAGAGACTGTTCTTCAAAAACGTCCCCTAACTACTATGCTCAAGTCATCAGCATAGGCTTGCACGTAGACTCCTACACTGCTGAGCCTAACGAGGACTTCGTTCACCAGGATGCACCACAGTATGGGTGACAGGACTCCGACCTGAGGGCAGCCTCTAGCTACGCTGATGCTGAATCTTACGTCATTCAGCATAGCTGCTGCTACCCGACCCTCCAGAGTAGATAGGATCCAATCTATTAGGATTGATCCAACCCCGTGCCTAACCAAGGCATGTCTGATAGGGTCGGTTGTAGTGCAGGCAGCAGCGGTGGCCGCAGTAGTAGACTCTTCGGTCTCCTGATCAGTCGCCGTGCGCTGTGCGGGTTCGAGTCCCGTCCCAGGAGAAATTTTTCTCTTGGCTATGGATGTTGGGATTGTCCGTAGGTGGTAGACGGTCTCTGACTGTCGAACGTGGAGGTACCACCCGGCAGATCTCGTAGGCGGAGCCAGAATGTGTGCATGTTGCATGCATACGTGTTCCCTCGCCAGAGTCCGTGTGGCGTTCCCCCTTTCCCCTGTATCCCCCTATAGCGCCACGGTACCCAATGGGTCTTTAGGCACCTTCAATGTCCAAAAAGGCCACGAGTGTCACTTGTCGCTGATCTAGAGTCTTTTCCAACCAACCGACCAGGCCAGATCAGTCGATTTCCCAGCTTGGTATGCAAACTGATTTGCATGAATGACACACCTTTCTAGTGGGCCATCCCTTAAGTATCTATCAACTATCCTTTCCAATGTCTTAAGCACAAAAGATGAAAGAGTATTCGGACGAATATCCTTTGGACCAGTATATCTAGCTCTGAGCGGTTTAGGAATGAATACCACTTTAGCCTGCCGCCAGCTTTTAGGTGTGAAGCCCGAGGCCACACATGCTCGAAACACCTTCAACAGGTGAGGAACAACCGAACTCCGTCCCTGCTGTAGCATGGCTGGAAATACGCCGTCCAGATCTGGACTTTTGTATGGAGCAAACGAATCTATCGCCCATACCGTCCTTTCGAAGGTGACTATCTCCCTAACCGTGCGCCAGTCCTCCCCTGAGGGCCTGCGCAACTGCGTGCATTCTATGATTGATAACGCTACTGTGGAACCGGGGAAGTGCATATCCATCAGAATCCTCAGAATACCTTTCTCAGAAATAGTATTCCCTTCCGAGGGATCATACAGAGATCCCAATCTTGCCGACGCTGTATTCAGGACGTCATTGTATTCCATATCTAAACACCACCCAGAACTGGATTTTTCAGCAAGACAATGCCAGACCGCATGTTGCCAGATCATTGTTAGTCTTCATGGATCCACATCCCACATCGCGTCAACCGTTTACCTTGGCCACCACGATCGCCTGACCTATCTCCAATAGAACATGTTTGGGTCAGGATAGGTCGCAGGCTCTTGAATTTGGAACACTCTACAGAGACTTTAGCAGCTATTGCTCGCGAAGTTGCAGTAACCTGGAATGAGAAACCCCAACAGGATATCGACCACCTTATCAGCATGATGCGCAAGCATTTCAATGAGTGTATAAGAAATCATGGATCCTCAACACATTATTGAACCAGCTTCTGCAGTCAGTTGACGAATCAAGATGTAAATTTAATCATGTTACAAGTAAGGGACACTGAACATAAGGGATTTGGAAAAACTTTGCAAAAACAATGTCATACCTGCCAGGTTTCACGATGAATTCTTTAAATTAAAATGTAAGTCTTCTCTTCCAGATGAGTTAGCAGAAACTGATGCAGAGGATGACAATGAAGATGAAATCTCCAAAACTTAAAAAAAATATATATTTTTTACTAGTCAGAATTTCATATTTTCTTTTGTAACGTTATTTTGTGTTTTTCTTTAATAATAAAGATGGTTTTTAATTATTTCCAAAATACTTTAAGTGCTACAATTTGCCGCCAAACTGACGTATCAGTGTACTTACGTTACATTTTTGATCAAGACTTCGAGATTTCTGAACCCCTAAAGTAACGTGAGTATCAATTAACCACTAAAACTATAGAAAAACTTCAAAAATCATTTTTCTTAATTAAATATAGACCTCAGAGAAACATCCTGGTAAATTTTGCACAATTTAAAAAAGGTTAACCAGGTTAAATTAAAAACACGTTTTTTCTCCGAAATCGTTTTTGGTGACTTGCGTTACTTTGGCAAATACGTATCGATATATGCCAAAAATTATCAAAATCGTATAGACATACGTAGGTGTTTCTTTGTCACTCGGTGATAAATAATGTTTTATAAGGTGCAAAATAAGATAATGTGTTGCTTAATAATCTGCGTGTTTCATTTGTCCAGTAAATAAATGAATAGTAATTGTTTACCCGTTAAGGTGGCTTTCCAAGGTCCACCCACCAGTACATATTTGCGCTACGGGGATTTTGTCACATATCCGTTTAATTATTAGGAATAAAATAAAAAATATCTATGCTGAAATATTGTTTATTTTATATTTCCTACTGAGACTATATGACAATGACAATGTACTACTATGGAATAAATAATCAAATAAACTATGGTTAATCGGTAACTATAAATATCGGACCATCCAGTTTTAAAGAGTTAAATTTATTATGGATCCTGATTGAGCTTTTGCAGAGCTCTGACTTTGTGATTGTCCTTGTCCACAACCCTCACTCTTAGATTTAGCAGAGGATTCACTATTGATAGAGGCTTGAGATTGAGAAGATGCTTTACTGTTTAAGTCGCTTCCCTGGCAGCCTTCCTGCTTACCTACAGCTTCAGATTTTGCCTGGCTGCTTGATTTACCGCCTTGAATATCTCCTTGTTGCTTGCTTTCAGCTTTAGCTTTTGCCTGGGTGCTGGATTTGCTGCCTTTGCTGTCTCCTTGCTGTTTGCTTTCAGCTTCAGATTTTGCCTGGCTGCTTGATTTTTCGCCTTGTTGACCACCCTGCTGTTTAGATTCAGCTTCGGATTTTGCCTGACTGCCTGATTTTCCGCCTTGTTGACCCCTCTGCTGTTCAGCTTTGGCTTCGGATTTTGCCTTGCTGCTTAATTTTTCGCCTTGTTGACCACCCTGCTGTTTAGATTCAGCTTCGGATTTTGCCTGACTGCCTGATTTTTCGCCTTGTTGACCACCCTGCTGTTTAGATTCTGCTTCGGATTTTGCCTGACTGCCTGATTTTCCGCCTTGTTGACCCCTCTGCTGTTCAGCTTCGGCTTCGGATTTTGCCTTGCTGCTTAATTTTTTGCCTTGTTGATCACCCTGTTGTTCAGCTTTAGCTTTGGATTTTGCCTTGCTGCTTGATTTTTCGCCTTGTTGACCACCCTGCTGTTTAGATTCAGCTTCGGATTTTGCCTGACTGCCTGATTTTCCGCCTTGTTGAGCCCTCTGCTGTTCAGCTTTGGCTTCGGATTTTGCCTTGCTGCTTAATTTTTCGCCTTGTTGACCACCCTGCTGTTTAGATTCAGCTTCGGATTTTGCCTGACTGCCTGATTTTTCGCCTTGTTGACCACCCTGCTGTTTAGGTTCAGCTTCGGATTTTGCCTGACTGCCTGATTTTCCGCCTTGTTGACCCCTCTGCTGTTCAGCTTCGGCTTCGGATTTTGCCTTGCTGCTTAATTTTTTGCCTTGTTGATCACCCTGTTGTTCAGCTTTAGCTTTGGATTTTGCCTTGCTGCTTGATTTTTCGCCTTGTTGACCACCCTGCTCGTTAGATTCAGCTTCGGATTTTGCCTGACTGCCTGATTTTTCGCCTTGTTGACCACCCTGCTGTTTAGATTCAGCTTCGGATTTCGCCTGACTGCCTGATTTTCCGCCTTGTTGACCCCTCTGCTGTTCAGCTTCGGCTTCGGATTTTGCCTTGCTGCTTGATTTTCCGCCTTGTTGACCCCTCTGCTGTTCAGCTTCGGCTTCGGATTTTGCCTTGCTGCTTAATTGTTTGCCTTGTTGATCACTCTGTTGTTCAGCTTTAGCTTTGGATTTTGCCTTGCTGCTTGATTTTTCGCCTTGTTGACCACCCTGCTGTTTAGATTCGGCTTCGGATTTTGCCTGACTGCCTGATTTTTCGCCTTGTTGACCACCCTGCTGTTTAGATTCAGCTTCGGACTTTGCCTGACTACTTGATTTTCCGCCTTGTTCACCCTTCTGCTGTTCAGTTTCAGCTTTGGATTTTGCCTTGCTGCTTAATTTTTGGTCTTGTTGATCACCCTGCTGTTCAGCTTTAGCTTTGGATTTTGCCTGACTGCTTGATTTTCCGCCTTGTCCACCCTTTTGCTGTTCAGTTTCAGCTTTGGATTTTGCCTTGCTACTTGATTTTTCACCTTGTTGATCACCCTGCTCTTTAGCTGTAGCTTTGGATTTTGCCTGACTGCTTGATTTTCCGCCTTGTTCACCCTTCTGCTGTTCAGTTTCAGCTTTGGACTTTGCTTTGCTGCTTGATTTACCGCTTTGACTATTTTCCCGAGACTTACTGTTTGATTCACTCTTTGTGCCAGAAGATTCTCCTCCATTGCAACCACCTTGAGATTGACCTTCGGATGACGCAGAAGAGTCACTAGTACTTCCCGCTTGTACGTCTGAAGAGCCTTCACGTTCCGATTCACTTCCTTTTTTAAATCCTTCAGAGATCTTGCCAGCTATCTTACCGACAGCGGATCCTATTTTGGAAATGACTCCACCTATCGATTCTCCAGATTCCTCTCCACATTCAGAATTGGCAGATACACTGGACTCTGTGAACGGATAAAGATTATAAAAATCAGTAAATAATAAAGACATATGCAGTACTACTATTCATAAGTATTGATTTCTAGCTCAGTAAATTAACACCTTTTACATAACAAAAATTCTATATTGGATGGAAATTTGGATTTAGGTTAATCAAGTATGGTTCTTTAGCATGGCGAAAAGTTCCGTATCCTAACTTAAGCGGGAACTGAAAATTTTTGAATAACTATTTGATCTTTCTTGGTACCGTCCTGTAGGTACTATATGTAGACAAAAAGTTGTAAAGCCATATTTGTAGTTCGATAAATAAGCTTCAAAATTTGTCTTTATCATATTTTCATATTTATGTTCGTTTACGTGATTATGACAATTCTCTAAGAGCTCTCATTAGACCATTCGTAAATGCTTAGAGGGTTATGATCATTTTCAGAAACTTTTTTGTAAAGATTGAAATTTGGGGGTTGTGGGTTGTAGGGGGTATGGGAGGAGGAGGGTATATGATCTTTTTTATCTCATATTTCGCTGTGATTTATACGCTCCTAACCCCCGTAATTCTATGCCATATTTCACACATCATGGATTTACCCGTACATTTGCCTAAAGCTTAGGATCACAGAAAAATGTTTTCGATCCTCGTATTCGCCAGTTCGGCTTATATACAGAGTATTCGTACTGGCGCCCAAGAAACATACTGAGCTTGCCCGAACCGAAAGATAACTCGCTGCAGAGATGCCGCGCACATGTGGAAAGGGACAACATTGCCACAGGTTCGGTAACTACCAGTAGGGCAGAGAAAGAATGTCTATTTACTAATTTTTTGGGCCTATTTGACTGACTTAATACGTTTAATTTCTCTGTTCTATAGGTTCGTAATTCAATATTTTCTACACAGACACAGAAAAAACATGCGGATTGGAGTTAAAAACGCTCCCCTCGAAAATGCATCCCGAAATATAATTACCGGTTTTGAAAGCTACTAGCTGCTACTTATTTCGGTGTAGTGGTAGACAATTTGCCTTGTAGACTGAAGACGTCCAATTCAATTCTTGGCAGCAGCACCCATTTTTCCGTTTTCCCCAAGTTTTGTAGTCCGTAAGTGTTAGTGTTGCTAATATTTGGCTACTAGCCAAAGTAACCCAAGAATTTGATAATTTAGATATCGTATTTGTTTTAATGCGGTGTAAATAACATTTGACTAGGGGTTTTAACGATGCCAAATTGCCCTGAAACGAGATTCCTCTGAAAATAATGTTATGAAGAGCGGAATTGCTAAGTTCCTGACAAAACTATTTTCAAAGGGGTTAATAAAATTTTTATATGCCAAGCGGCCAAACATTTACGAAAAAGATCAACGCTTTTTTGTACTCAACTGAGCGCAATTACGTATGGACTTAAACACAGTTCTAAGAAGATTGACTCCGGGGTGCTCCTAGCCCAATGCATGAATTTTAATGAGAAAATTGCGATTTAAAAAATAGTAGTGATAAATAGTGGGAAATAGTGAATTTATTCATAAAAAACTGAGTAAATTTATCGAGAAATTGAATATCATAATGTCAAATTTAAACGGATAATATAAATAAGAATGTGTGAAAAACCGAGATTAACTCACATAAGGTCTTTATTATTGTTGACGTAAGCAAAAATAATTATTCATATGTATGCATATTTCAAGATCAAATGGATACGAAGCATAAAAGTAATATAATAACATTTTAGCGAACTAATATTAAAAAGTTGAAATTTGACGTCACGTTGCTTCCTCTATCTCTCTATTCAAGCCCTTCCAGTCGATAATCATATCATAGGGTAACGATAGTAGTTTTATAGGTGCCATTTTGCGGCGGTAGGTATATTTGATTTGAAATGACATTTTGCTTATTGTTTTTCTCTCAAGCCCTTTTATCTGATGCGCATATTATAGGGTTGACTATGGAATTGCAAATTTGCTGCCTCCGTCATATTAAATTTAGAATGACATAAGTTTGCTTATTGTGTTTCTCGCATCAAGCTCTTTCATTTAATACCAATACCATATACTATGGAAAGGATAAATAGCCATTATGTAGTATACGCCATACTAGATTCAAAATGGCGGCAGTTGATTCATTATGTATTGTCACACGTAAGTCCAGTTATACAAAACATACGGCATACGAGATTTCAGCTCGATTGGTTAAGGTTAATTGGTTCAAAATCCAGTTTCAGGATTTGTCTCACACATGCATACTAACGAACTAACATACTAATAGTTACTTGTACAAGGCTTGTAAAAAGTGCCAATGTTATTGAAATTCATATTCAAATTCCCGGTCAAATTAAGCCTAGAGAAAATTCAGGGTAAATTTGTCTTTTCTGTCTCTCTCTGTAAAAATACTCTAACGCAAACTATCTAAGTAACAGTTTATTAGATGTGTAAATGCGCAACCTTGCCTTCATAACCGATTTTATATAGCTTACCGTTTCCGAATTTAAATCCCTAGTGCATATATATATATATATAATATAGGGTGATGTTAGCAAAGCTGAATTAGAATTCAACGTAGATGTCAACTAATTCTAGTGATTTCTCATGTAATACATATCAGCTCAGCTTGAGGAGAACCCTGTACATTGTAACTTTGTAATAGTTAATTTTATAAAAAAATCCACTTCACTTAATTTCGTGGGGCTTGAGAGAATGAGGACAGCTCCTTCGAAAACGTTCATAAACTTCAATATGTACAACGAGAGTGAAAATAGTGAGAAAAGTGATGTTTGCAATGAAAAGTGAGTAAAAGTGAGATGGATCGAAAAAATTGAGAAAAAGCAGAAAAGAGTCGCCGGCATCCCTGTTGACAATAAGCGAATGTAGATGTGAAAGTATTATAGAAACCGTTTTTGTAGCTTATTCATCGAGCTATAAAATTAACAACCATTTTCTATATATAATATTTACATGACCGTAACAAAAAAATCAAAAAGGTTTCAATACCTACATACCGCAGGATCCGGAACTTTTATTATGCTAAAGAAGACTATTTCGATTACCTGAATTCAAATTTTTATCGATTATAGAATTTTTGAAGGTTTGGGGAATATTCTGTGTTTCATTACCGGGCTATTTCTATATCATTATAAACTGTTCATATATGCATACCTAGCTTGGCACATCCTTCAGATTTTGATCCATCTGAGAGACCACATCCTTCTGATTCAGAGCCACATGGCTTGCACTCTGAGGGCTGAAATTAAGAATTGTATGATCTATGAGCGTCTACGATTATCCTTAGATCGAGGTAGCATTATGGCAAGGATAAAATGAAGTACGCTTTGTAATCTTTACAGTTTTTATAAATCAGTATTGTGACGTATTCCACAGAATACGTTAATCAATGGACGTAGTAAAAAATTTATTGGATAAAATAAGAAAGACACTCAAACCTCACAAAAGAGAAGTCACTAGTTCATCTTACCTGTAGGAGCAAATAGGCTGCAAGTGCTAGAAGTACTACTGAAGTGGTTCTCATGTTGTCAGTTGACGTTGGTTAACTGATGATGAGATGAAATTCTTCAAGACATTTATAGTACACTCTGTTTACTGCAAGCTCTATTTACAATCAAAGAAAAGTATAGTAAAAGAGTCTGTTAATTATAGTTTATTGATCGGTATGTATCAATAGATTGATCTTTTTGATAAATGAATCTGAAAGGTATTTGCAAATAACGCAAATATTTGTTACTAGTAAACAAACTTATTTTTATGATGTATTTTGAACTCTGCTGCAGATTGCTTGAGTTCCGGGTTATGGTGATGAAATAAACCTTTAAAAACATAGTCAAGTAGATTAACTAAGTATTTTCCATTTTTCATTTTTTGCTCTGTAAAGCAAGAAGATATTTTCTGCATTTGTTACGCAGCCCTATGAAAAAAAATTAAGGCCGAGATCCGCGAGTCAGTCCATGATATTCCTATATATTTTTGGATGGTTAATCCAAATCCGGAATCAGAATAGTTTCTATACGACTGGAATTCACCCTCGGGCAGAAAAACTACTCCTAGGTGGGATTAAAACTAAGTTGCTGGACCATGGTATCTCCATCTATTTTTCGACGCTGAATCCGAATTTATGGTCGAAAAGATCGCTACACTCCTGGAGACCACCTCAGGGTAATCAAAAAATACTCTTGGAAGAGATTAAAGTTGAGTTTTAAATGTCAGATGCTGAAGCATGGTGTTACCATGTAAGTTTTAACGCTGAATCCGAATTTGTGGTAAAAAAGATCCCTACGTCCCTAAAGCTCAAAGCTGGGCCTAAAAACTACCCCTTAGAGGGGTAAATATTCAGTTTCGAATGCAAGATGCTTGGACATGATATTCTCATGTATTTTCGACTCTAAATCCGAATTTGGGATTAACGAATTTTTTACACTTTACTACGAACAACCAGGGCTATACGATTCGTGTTTCAACTTCAGAGAACAATATTTTGTCTACATATACAGTTTTCCAAAAATGTTAATCCATCCAGTAATGTTGGGAGTGGTAACGATTGTATCATGAACTCTTTTGAGAGAAAAAGAGAGCACTGCACATCCTACGTTGGGAGGCAACTGACCGGAAGTCTCGTCAAAGGTCTGTTCAGACTTGACAAATTCGACATACAACCGAAATGAGTTTCTAATTTTTGAAAATGATCGATTTTGAAACATAATATATGGTATTTCTCTTATGTATGGCTCAACCCTAGTCTTCTTAAGACCAAAGGGCGGTAGCTAATTACCCTTAAGCAATGTGTTGATGCGATTGTGGCATAGCTAACATCTTTGATTAGCTCAATCTCTAATAACATACAATTCCTCTGGCATGTCGAAAATAGTAAATTTTAGATATCGAACATTGCTTCTAAAGGCCTTTTCTACTCATTTAAAGAACCGAGATCATAATTCAATTCATATAGAGCAGATTGTGATTCACCCTCCCCCACTACCTGCAACTCCTTATCCCCAATTTGTGACCCCTGCAAAAAATTTTACGTAGATAATCAGGAGCCTCTGAAACACCAAAAAAAAGTTTGGGCGATTTATTTTTGTTTTTTTGTCCTTGGCATAGCTGTAACATTGTGTGAAAATTTCATCAAAATCTGAGCGGTACTTTCCAAGTTATAGAGGGATCATGGATCAATGGTCAGACAGACAGACCGACGGAAATGAGTTTAATGGATTTTCATGATCGACATGTCACATAACATCCATAAAACATAATATCTCGACATCGAAATTTTTAGCGATTGCCATACATCTTCGCCGGTAAGCGTGGGAAGTAAAAATCACGTTTGATCGAAATACATTCTGAACAAATCATCATACCGCAATTCGGAGATCATTGCCTCTGACCTACTGAGCGGGACCGTGGCGAATACTTGTTCCGGAAGTTGTTGTAGTCAGTATACAACTTCTTTCCGTTCAAGTGATTGTACACGCGTCGTGGAATACCTCAGTACCCGTTTGCCGGGTGGCGATATAAGTCCGTCAAAGGGCCACTTTAGGTCTATTTAACGTCATTAACACGCAAAAAGAAGATGGTAGACAAGGACCAGTCGACCGAGACGGTACCACCCGCTAGCTTTTCCCAGCGTGTCGTAAGAATGTACGCAGTCGGTTATCTTCCCCGACAAAGAAATTAATGATGATGGATCCCTCGAGTACTAGGAAATTCCGGACTTAAGCTCACTTTACTCTCGGAATGTCCGGGTGGAGGGTGGACTCAAGGGAACAACATCGATGATCAGATTTGTTTTGCGAACATCTGCGGGATTAACGGCAACACTGATGCTGTTCATCACTACCTGCAATCCAATCGTCCCGCCATGTTTTCCTTGTCTGAGTCAAAAATTGTCTTACCTGTATTTCGGGTTGGGCTGTACTGCACAAAAAAGATAACCTTACAAATACTCAACATATTGGTACTCACAGTAATGGTGTACAAATTTGTACACCATAAATCTTATTCACTATTCGAGTGTTCGTCCACACGCATTCGTACCACTGTTTATTGTTCCATTATTTGTCTATTAGATATTATTGGTAAATTAAAAACCTAAAGTAGAATTCACTGCTCCTGATCCTCGGCACCGTCAAAATTTATTCTCTTCCAGTCAGTAATAATCATGTACATATCCGCCATCATTATTTTTTCTCCATGGGCTTGCCTTACTGATTCTCAACAACATTCTGTGCAAAAAGTATATACATATTAAATGTAGTAACTTCTGAGGAAATACCTTGAACCTTCTACGAGGATTTCTCTTGATATCATCTTCAGGGTGCGGTAGCAGTTGATTTTAAATAATTTTTTCTTTTATGCTAGCAGCACTTCAATCAGTTTCTAGTAAAGGCCACTGGCTTTTAGGCTTTTAGTAACATAACTTGATTTCAGGATGATTAAATTTATTCTGTCTAAAAATGTATATTGATAGGTACTGCAAGGTATTTTGTGAGATTTAATTTTGAATTTCGGTTCTGAGTCGGATACTGGAGGCGGCATGTTGTCAATGCATTTTTGGTTAAATTTTGAATATGAGTTTTCCAAATTATGGTTTCATTCAAAATATTTAGCGGTTGTATCCCTTGGGGCAGAGATGCTAACAGTATCTGCTCTGGAGCAGAATGCCTTTTCTTTGTATAACAGTAGTATTGTATTCAGTCATTATTTTGATACTTCATCCACGGTATCATGCAGTGCATATGAAGAGACTACTAGCGCAGTAATAAGGACAAGGGATATCATGTTTATATAAAAGATAAAGAATAGGTCATAGGACCGAGCTTTGGAAGGCACCTCATCCTGATATATTGATACGTAGAATACCTATCCTTCATTTTGATCTTGAACTGGAAAGCTGTTATTATCTCAGTTTATGCAGCAGCCCTACCTTGTCAAAATCTTTCGAAATATCCAGGAAATGAGATTCAGTGTTCTAATTTGGGGTGAATCCAAATGTTATCGTCACCAAAATTCTCATTGCCTGTTGCTTCGTATTATGTTCTGCGCGAAATCCGAATAAGTAAGCATCAGATGAGTGTGAATCACGTTTTCGGTTAGTCAATAATGCTAGGGAAAAAATTGAACCTGCCTTCTTTGGGATTACAGCGATTTTCCAGTCTCCTGGAAAGTATTGAGGTCTCCCGGTGCCTGGCGTATATTAAGGGCTTTGATATAACCGCGAAGTTCCGCAGGAGTACAGCACGAACCCTTTAGGAGGAATTTTGCACTTCTAGTTGTGCCTTGTTTGGCCCTGAAATATCTTCTTAGCAATCTTTGAATGTGTTCTTCCTCATTAACTTCATTAACCAAACCGTAATTCGGAACTTTTCATGGTTTCAGTAAAAACTACCGGATTTAGATACGTCCCATGTTTACTGGCGGGAAATAATTGTAATCATGAAAATGACTGAACATGAGATATTATGTGTTTTTGATGTTATATGACATGTATATCACGCAAAACCATGTCACTCATTTCTGTCTGTCTGTCGGTCTGTCCGCGAATCTTGTAACCGCGTATAACTTTAGAAGTACCGCTCGGATTTCGATGAAATTTTTACACAATGTTACTACTATTCCAAGGAGAGGAAAAACGTCGAGGTTGTAGGGGGGTGGCGAGGATTTATCTCAATGTTTTGATGTTAGTACGTTTCCAACCTTGATAATTCTACGCAACTAATAGACATATCTCACACATCATAGATTTCTCCATACATTAGCCATTAAAAATATTTTCAGCAGACGGAACGCGTTCCTACCGAACGCGTGAAGTATTATACGTATTTTTGCCGCACCACAGCATAGGGTTTCCTATGATCTGACAACGCTGCCACGTCTGACCCGCGTAACTAGAGGGGAGAGGCGACGTTTCCAGATGCACCACCGGTAAGGCAGGGAAAGAATGTCTATGGTCTAATTGTTTAGACCTTTTTCTCAGAGGTCTAGTTTGTGCTGAACATAATCCTTTAAGAACTGATAACAGCGTTCCACGGGAAAAGCAGAATAGAACCAATTTTTTTTTGGTGGTGAAAACTATGCCACCAGGACGGTGGATCGGCAGCGGTTACCGGCAAGATGCTAAAGAGGGATATACTATTGTAAACCATCCAGAAAGCGGTTTCATTCTCCATTCTTATATTCGCTCAAAATAAGGCATCTCTAACGGGGAGCCGTTCTCATGTCTTCAGGATGACGGCTGCGTTTTTATCCATGATCTTCTGGCGAACAGAAACAATAGCAGCATCAGTAGACCGTAACATGTACATCACGAAAAACAATGCCACTCATTTCCGTCAGTCTGTTTGTCTGTCTATAGGTTTATCCGCTAATCTTATGACCACCTATAACTTGGGAAGTCACACAAAAAAGAGTGATCTTGGTTCAAGAACAACCATCTTCAATTGAGGACCATGTATTTGATATGTTTCTAAGACATATGCATATGTGTGAATTAAGGGAAATTTCTCAATTGTAAGTTCTATGTCTCTTTAAAACAAACCTCATTTGAAGTATCTGTGATTTCGAATTAATGTCATAATTTCATAAAAACTTATGATCTTGAATCAATAGCACTCTTTTTTGTGTGTACCGGTCAGATTTTGAGAATTTTACACAATTTTACTACCATGCCAATGACGCAAAGTTGTAGTTATTGAAAATCGGTCCAGGGGCGGCAGGAAATAAGTAAAAATCGTTTTTGGACGTTGCAAAGCATTTCGATCATTTTTCAAAAAAATGTTAGAGGTAAAAAAACTTGGGGGTGGGGTTGCAAGGGGATGGTGTGGGTTTATCTCAATTTTTTGATATTGGTGCATTTCTTCGCTCCCAACATTGGTAATCGCACGCACATAGACATATTTCATACATTTTAGATATCTCTGTACATTAGCCATGAACATTATAAAAATATTCTCGGGGGACGAATCGCGTACCTATCGGCCGCAGTTACTTCTGGCGTCGTGCGCCGACCGTGCTCTGGCCGCGCTACCAGTTAGCCTATGGACTAACTGTAAGGACCTGTTTGACTGATTTTTTTCTCAGAGGGTCTAGTTTGTGCTAAACATATTCCATTATGTACTGATAAGGGCGTTGCGAGCAAAGTCAACATTCTTGACGCCATTTTTTTAAAGGTAGCTGCTCTAGTAAGCTCATCTTGCACGAACCCCTTCCACTTCAAAAAAGCAGCATCTAATTCGCTTTCAGTACAGGAATATTGGGAAATGACATATGTATGTATAGAGTTTTTCAGTGAATATGTTTTGGCTTTTCATTATTACGTTAATACCTACAATATGACTGGAAGTCGGTTACTCTGAATGTCGTACATGACCCGAGAAGTAATACTAAAGTTGCAATTTCTAGATATCGCAAAACCAATCCGGGTTAACAGACTGTTGCGTGTGTCGTGGAGTGTGTCAGTCGCAATATTCGTGATTGGCATACATTCGTATGTAGTGGATCAGCGGAAGTCAGGTGATAGAGGGCCTAAAAACGAATGAACCCTTATATGTGTGGTCCGAGATTTTCTTGTTCAGGAGATATTTTCAATTTTGGGAAATTTCGAAAAAAAAACGGGATAATGAACTTTCCATCGCAATTACAACTAAAGCATTAGGTTTAGGGCTTCTATTGCGTTTCTTACGTTTATCGCATCACAACAACGAATGTGACATGATATACTCATCGTAGCAAGCTGAAATTTTCAGGATTTATTCTACATGGATTGAAATAGTTTTTACCATAAAATTAATAATGAAATACAACCTTAACTTTTTTACCGCCCTCCAAAGTTGAGGGAGGGAAGACATTTTTCACAAAAAAACGAATTGAAGACTTTTTGCGTAGATTTCTAATTATCTCTATTAAAAAGTGACATAACCATTGCTAAAATTAACGATTAAGCTCATCTCAAGAAAAAAACTCAGCTCTAAACCTAATCGTTTAGTTGTAATTGCGATTGAAAGTTCATTATCCCGAAATTTCTAAAATTGCAAACATCTCCTGAACTATAAAATTTCGGACCACACATATAGGGGTTCATTCGATAGGTTTTGATGCCCTCTATCACCTAACTTCCGTTGATCCACTACTAACTTTACACCCTGTATACTACAACTCGATTGTATCACAGAATATTCTTGGTACTCCTCCGATTTGGAAATTTTCATCAATTCAAAAAAAAAAAAGGAAAAATCATCATGTCCAGTGCTGCAAGGGTATACTATAAACTAAAACCGATTAACTATAGAGAAAACTTACTAACAAGCTTTCTGATTCGCGAAGGCCGAAAGGGTCTATGGGCGCATGCAGAATTTTTTTCAGCAGGAGCTGATTAGACATCGGCAAGAGGAAACTTTTTGTATATGATCATCAAAAAGTTTTGAAAATCAGGGGAGCGAATTTACTTAGAGGTATAGCCAAATCATAATTATGATACCCAAAACTACGCTAAGCATGCACAATTTTGGGGGCAGTAACATACTCGGGAAGGTTGGGGCACGGACCTCCTTAGCCTCCCCTTGTAGGCTCCCATTCAAGGATCTAAAATAATTTGACTGAAGCGAGAATATTGATTTTTACCGGCTGGTTAATATTTCTTTTTATTGAATAAAGTTCCGCCTTTCTTGTGGGCGACAGCATGGTCCTTATTCTGGAGCACGGTGGCGAGTATAAAATAGAAACTAATGGAAATATTTCTCCAACGGGGCGATGCTGTAATTTTTGTCTTCTCTAGTAGATCTAGGTCAAGTGTCCAAGTAACACGGCTAGTAACTACGGTGATTTTCGAAGTTTCTAAAAGCGTTGGTTTCGGAACTCGACTCGGACAGAGGTAATCGACAACAATTACTCAAAAAAATATCAATCTACATTTGTCATTTACATAAAACACATCCAGTTGTGTTTTTACATAGTTTGTCAATGACGATTGATGCAATCTAATAATTATAGATAGGTGGTCTCCAACATTCAGAGATGCAAAATAAGATAATCATGGTAAATAAAAAATGTATATAAATAGCTAAAGATATACGGAAATACGATATCATACAGCTTACAATATGAAAGTCGTACCAGTACTACTTATTGCTTTTGTGGCAATTTCGGCTCTAGAGGTAAGAAGTTGAATCTGACCTAATTTGTAAATACTTTATAAAGTTTGTATTTGTTTCAGCCTGTACAGGCCGAACCATGGTCTTGGTCTTCTATGTTTTCATCAGCCAATGGTGTCTCAAAATCTCAGAGCTGCGAAGGAGATTCGGGTAATTTCATTTTACTATATTTCACCCCTTATGCATGAGCAAGGGAAGTAAAATTAACACAAAGCTTGAAAAAACAGTAGATACATCATATCTCTAATCGAGGGAGGTATTGTTTTCCTGGACCAATTTCAGATTAAATCTTTGTGTACAGATAAAAGAAAATGGAGGTTTTTCCAACATGCTTTTTTACTGAAAACCGCTTCATTGAAATTAGATTCGTGTCCCAGTATACACCTTGTAAGTGACCAAATTCCTTGTTGTTCAAATAATACCACGTAATACACGTTAATTGCAAAAACATAGTGAGTCCGGCAGGGTTATTACGTAAAAAAACTATAGGTATAATGTTCTCTGTCAAAGAAACCGATAAAATGTCAACTTGTAGGAACACCTAGATAATGCCATAAAAAAGCTATATCATGTAAAAAAGCGACATAATGTCACTTTTCGAGTTACGTAATATCCCTGCGGGACTTGACGTGGTTTTTGCATGCACTATTTGACGATGGATACTTAAATGGGTCATTTTAAAGGCAGTACCAGTATCCTTGATTTACTTTATTTTCATATTTATGTACTATATGTACTGAAATAACAATTTTAAATTCTCAAACCACAAAAATAAGGTACCGGCCCAAAGTTGGTTGTTTAGAGAATCCTTGTTTGATATAAACTGGTATTACACGCACAACACATCTTGCAAATGCCATCTTTGTTTTTTGTTGATAAAATAAGTTTTGATGATGAAAATCCTTGTATTTTTCCAATTATATAATTTATATTTTTTGGCTTAAAAAAACCGGAAGTATTAGACACGCGAATGAGTGGAAAGTACTATGACAATATATTTGGTTTCATTTTTTACACTGTGGAAAATGACAAAATATTAATTAGATCTAAATTGTCTTCTTTACTCCTAACAGAATCTATGTCGAAATCCCAGTCTGGCGATATATCTGGATGGATTGGTAAAATATCTGGAGCTGGAAGTAATATGGCCTCTGCTGGAAGCAGCGCATTGTCTGAAGGTTGCTCATCGGGTAACCAGGCGATATCACAGAGCTCTTCAATAGGCGGATCCATTAGCAAATCGATCGCTCAGAGTATTTCGTCACCAAGTGGTTCCATAAACAAGGCTATTTCTGAAACTTCCTTAGATGGATCTTCAAAAAAAGTCATTTCCCAAATCATCAGTTCTGATGGAAAAAGTCGAGGTATTACTAAGATCATATCACAAGACAGTGGAGAATCTGCTGCTCAAAGCCAGGTTCAGTCAAAATCACGAAAAGGAGAATTAAAGAGTCAAGCGAAGTCAGAATCTACAGGAAAATCGCAAGAAGGCTGTAATGGAAACGAATCAAACAGTCAAGCTGAAGCATCGTCTAAATCGGAAAACAAGATATCTTCTGAGTCCAAAAGTCAGGCACTATCTAAATCCCAGGGTAAACAGGAGAAGGGCTGTGGAAACGAGAAGTCTCAATCTCGCTCTTCTTCTAAATCCGAATCTGGATCCAGCAACTGCTAAGTGAAAGGAGAGATGTATTACTGTAGATATATTTTTTACCAGCATGAAGTTGCTTTACAAATAAAGAACAGAACTTTGTAACATATGTGAAATGTGAAACAAATATTAAAGCATTCTGAAAATACGTACATGTTTAATTTTACTCTCAGCGCCTACTGGCGGCGAAGTATTATAATCGCAAAAATTTTCGAAACTGAAATTGTATTTATGACATGTGCATCACGAAAGACCATTTCATTCATTTCCGTCAGTCTGCCTATCGGTCTACTATGCCAAGGACGCAAAACAAACACCTTTGTAGATTTTGAAAATCGGTCTAGTTGCGACGGAGAAAAAGGCCAAAAACGAAAAAAAAAAAAAAAATCGCTCAAACTTTGTTTTTGACGTTTCTGACGATCCTGCTCATTTTCGAAAAAAATTATGTAACGCTTAAACATTTGGGGTTACGGATTGCAGGGGGTGGGGAAGGGTATATATCAATTTTTTGATGTTTGTATATTTATACGCCTCCAACCACAGTAATCCTTCACACATACCTATTAGGAATATTTAACTCATCATACATGTCCTTGTATGTACCTTTACCCTTAAATATCTCCAACAATCGGGTGTCATTTTTTCCCAAAGAACGAGCGTCGACGTTGGTGGTTGAACGCCACCGTCGGCTATTGCTTCTGCACTGCTGAGCGTACTGAGCACGGTGAAGGTCAATACCGTTATGCACGCGGAATTCGTCATCGATAATGTGGGCCTGCAGGAATTCCTTTCAGGGGAGTAGAAAGGTCATTTAGCATGTAGCTATTTTTTTCTTTAAGGGCCAACTGGTCCCAAATATAATAATCCTTTACGAACTGATCCCTGCGTAAAATAGCAAAATATAATTACTCTGGCACTATTTATAATTTTTTTTAAATAGATATAGCCATATTACTTTTTATTAATGTAGGTAAAAATCAGTAGTATCTAACATTCAATCAGAGATGGAGATTCTGTGTAACGAGTTGCATCAACAGTTTTTGGAAGATGGTGAGACCGTCATATAATATCGATAAAAAATTTCGTATCAATAAGATTTGGTAAGTTCCCTTTCAGACATAAATTTTCCCACTTTTTATTCCCGCGTTACTGGCGAAGAAGTTCTACAATCGCGAAAAATTTCGAAAATCCATGTCACTCATTTCCGTTTGTCTGTTTTTCTGTCCGTTAATCTTCGGAAAGCGTCGGTTAGATTTTGATGAAATTCATGACAAGGACGAAAAAGCTTCATAGTTTTTGAAAATATATATAGTGGCGGCGGAGAGCCTCCTGATCATTTTCAGAAACAAATTTAGGAATAAGACAGCACAAAGTGCCATTTATCACCAGAATCGACCAGTGCGAAAGTAAAAACAGCAAGCTGTGTGTTGGAACTGTGTGCCAGTTTCACACATCATAAATTTTATCGAACATTTGCCCTTGATAGAGAAATATTTTTAACACACACGTCTCTGGATACAGCTGTGTCGAAATTTGAGCAATGTCTAGCCGATGGGTGGCTGGTGTCTGGCGAGTGGCAAGGCTAGTCATAGCAACGTTGCCATCACTGTGGGTAAGTTGTATGGGTCTATTTGGCTCTCGTATCATTTCTTTTGTTGGTTGTCCTTTATGAACTGATAACAGCGTTGCGTGGAAGGTGTGCTTGACGCTATTTTTTACCCGGATTCCTCGGGAAGTCTCGGTAGCTCGGTGGTTACCGCGTCGAGCGGGGCTAGCGAGTTTGAATCCCCACCTCGGAAGTTAATTGCGAGCCATGGATATTATGTGTGTGTTACCAGTAGATGCCTCGTGGAGTACAGTGTTGGTACTACGGGGTCGGCAAAAAGTGTCAAAGGTGGCCCAGTTGGCAGGCTTCGCCTCCTCACTACTAACATACTACTACTACTACTGGTGGGCAAACGGTTGGTCACTGGGTCCAGGGGGGTGAGGTGCTGGTACTCCAATAAAACCCTTGTGAAATGCTCACAGTCTACAAAAGGCGAGAACCAACAAGTCCTATATCCCACCTTCGTCAAACTTGACCCTGAGTTCGGCAGGTGTCCGCCAGAGGTATGTCGCTGGGAGGGCTTCCGGATAGCTGAAGCATACCAGTACTGACCGGACGACGACGACTTGGCAATGGACTGGACGAGGCAATGGTTATGGAACGACTATAACGATATGGGTGGATAGATGAAGACTTGGCAATGGAAACGAAAAAAAAAATAAAAAATGAAAATATGGACAGACATTTGCAAAAGATAGAAGTTGCTGTGCAGGGATTGGGAACCCCAGTACCCGTCGGTGACGGTAGTGCTCGCTCTGTCCCCGCCCGACCGTTAGTCAGTGATAGGGCGATAACTCCTGTGAGCAACCAGGCGGTAGTGGAAGAAATAGTGTCTGGAATGATAATGGACGATGAGGGGAGCATCCATCCTTTTGAAAGGAGGGAGTCCTTACAACGAATGCCTCCGAGAGGCAGGTAGGCAGGATTCACACTTGGGCAGGAGATGACTCCTTCTTTGCCGTCAGCCAGCCACTGAAGAGAGCGCGGGAGGAAACCCGACCGAAGGAGAGTCGGAAAGCAGCAAATATGAAACAAGAAAAGCTGATAGGGGAAATGAGAGGACTGTTGCAAAAGTTGTCACGTTCCGGAAAGGAATTGACTGACATCGTGCCTGCAAATACCAAGGCTGAAATAAAAAAGGGAGTCAATCTGATGACCCGAATTGCGGATACGGTATTGCAAAAGCTATGCGAGTTCGAAGAATTACGTACAGAGCATATTGGCTGTCAGATCTCAGAAGCGTATACGCAGGTCGAAACGACTACGACAAGAGGGACGTGCTATAGCACCAAGGACGTAGGGACGCAAGTGAACATGGAATAAAAATCAACAAGATAATAGAAAATGGGAGTTCCTTCGAAGAATTTGCCACCATCTTGGACACTGAATGGTCTGAACGTGTATAAAACCACGGAGTGCGTGAGGCCTAACCCGCTTAAGGCAGGCGTGGCTCTGGTTACAGGTGCTGCTAGCCCAGCAGCAAAAGGAGCGGTCTAGGTAGTCAAGGACCGATACCCAGAAATTTCGGACTTACTCGGTGGTCAAATGGTAGAACGTGGAGTAGAAGTTATGGAAATGTCGATTAAAATATCTACAAGCCGTGGCAGATAGGACAATAAATCGAGATTTATCTTCCTGCTGCCTTATAAAGTGGACCCTAACGGAGTAAATAATATGCGAGACCTATATCAAGTCTTATGCAAATTGAGGGAGGAAACCATGAAGCATAATCGCCACAAAATAGTAATAACTACGCCAGAGGAACTTTATAAGAGTTTCAGTAGAAAACTTCTGGAGTGTGCTTTCAGGCAAAGTCGAATACAGGTGAAGTAGGCTATACAAGGGAAGGTAGCAGCTGCAACAGATAGGCCAAAAACGAAGCCACCAGATCGA